AAAAAACCAACAACAAAACAAAACAAGTGAGGTTTTAACATATGTTGTATCAAACTCAAATGTCCAAGTCAGGTAGACATGTAGGTGCAAAAATTGTCCCACTGTTCCAGCGCAGCTTCTGTCACATGATGTATTTTTCCCAGCATCTTTTCAGCATGCAACATTCCCAATCATTCTGTCTTTCCACATTTTAAGCGTTGGAATATGAGAGTCCTTCCAGTGTTCCAAAATGACACGGGCACATGTTACCAATGCAGTACTTAACACTCTAAACTGGTGTTTACTTAATTGCGGCACCTCTCCTTTGTCTCCTAGTAAACATAATTTAGGTGATCTGGGTAGGTTACAAAGTGTCCACCCAAATTCATACAGTTTTTATTCAAATTCTATTGTTTTTATTAGAATTCTGTTGTTTTCATTAAAATTCCGTCGTTTTCATGTTAATTCCTTTTTCATTCTAATTCTGTTGTTTGTTTTGAACCGTTTCATCAATTGTTTTGATTCAAATTCCATTGTTTATTCAAATTCTTGTTTTATTCAAATTCATTTTTTCATTCACCGTGTTAATGTTGTTTATTCAAATGTTTGTTTACTACTTTTTTCAATTCTTTGTTAAATCTTTGCTCTTCAAACTTGTTCTTACATTCTAATTCCGTTCATTCATTCCATTTTTATTCTTAATCATGTTTCATATTGTTGTTTCACAATTTGTTTTTTATGGTTTCTAATTGTTTCATTCAATGTTGTTTCATTCAAATCTTGTTATTCAAATTAATCATCAAATCTTTTTTCTTAAATTCCGTTGTTTTCATTCAAATTCTTTGTTTTCTTTTATTCATTCAGTTCTAAATTCTGTTTTATAATTCACTGTTTTATAATTCCGTGTTCATCAAGTGTTTGATTATTCCATTTCATCTAATTCGTGTTTGTACTTCCATGTTTTCATTCAATTGTTTCATTAAATTCTTTTCATTGAAATTTGTTTGTTCAACTTGTCATCAATTCCGTCTCATTTCCATTGTTTTCATTCTAATTCTTGTTTGTAATCATTGTTTTTCAAATTTTCACAATTCCATTGTTTTCATTAAATTCTACTTTCAAATCCTTGTTCATTCAAATGCTTGTTTTACTTTTTT